ATTCGAACCCACCACCTTAGGTGTATGTGGCTGGCGCCTTAGCCGGTTGAGCTATAGGCGCTGAGCCCAGATCTTGCTTTTTGAGAGAGATGGCACCTTCCCTGGCTTGAAGCCCACATCCTGTGTGTAAAGTGGCACTTGAACAACTCTCTGGGTGCAGGTCTGCGGCCATCTCAAGGGGCAACCCTGGCTCTGGCAGTCTCCCTCTCTGTGTCCAGCCTCATGGAAGGATTCCACCGACAGACCCCTAGACAGTGCCCCTTCCTGCTGCCCCTCATGTCTGCCCGTGTGGCTTGGGGTAGGCTGGGCATGCCTGTGAAGAGGACACGTGTCTTACTCTCTGGGCCTGACACTCAGGGACAGCTTCCTTGAGCCTCAAGATTGATCACTCTATCTCTGAGGGAGAGATGGCCAGGAGACGAATCACTCCTCAGCCCGGAGCAAATGATCTGGCCTAGTTGCTGGGATGCTGCGCGTCACCCAGGACCAGCTTAGAGCCCTGGCCAGAGCAATCCTCCAAGCAGACCCTCTTCCAGGTGAAAATGGATTCCCTTACCAAGTAAATGGCTCACTCCACCCCACCCCTACACTGTACCTCTGTCCTTGCCTCTGCTTCCACCCAGGGAGTACAGTCCTGGAGGTCCAGGGGCAGAGTGAACCATGGACCAGGAGCAAGGTCACCAGCACTGACCCTTCAGCCTGCTCCAAACCCTGAACAAGGGGCTACAGGCCACAGGTGGGCCCTGCCCCGCCTGCCCCCCATACACACAGTTCAGATGTATGGAACCAGGGCAGCTGAACTCCACAGGGTTGTTTTAAATCCTGGATTCCAGAGCAGACTTAGCCATAGGCAGCAAGGATGCCAAGGGCTATTTACACAATGTTTGTTGTACAGGGCAGGCTTCACAGGCTGTGCTTGGAGTCACTCCTCCTATAAGCCTAGCTGTCCCTAGACCCTGGCTGCCAGGGCAGAGTGTGTGTGGAAAGTGGTGACCTGGGCCGTTCTCTCCTACTGGTCAGAGGAAGTGACAGTGGCTTCAGGAGAAGGCAGATGTGAGGCATATGTCAGGTAGATGAGACCCACAGAGTCCCCCAGGATAAACGAGGGTTGAAGCCAAATCACCTCTGAGCAACCCAGCAACAAGGAGCTAAACTTTTCTTTTATTGTGACAAAAGACACAACACAAAACTTGTTTCCTTACCCAGGCTTGGTGTGCAGCTCCTTGGCTTAGCCCATTGGTATTGCAGCCATCTGTTGCCACAGTAATGTCATCCTCCCCAACTGAAGCTCTTAGAGCTACATTTTGTAAATGGTCTGATTCAACAAATTTTTTGTTTGTTTTGGTTTTGAGTTGGGGGAATTGGCATTCCTAGGGGGGCTCAAACTCATTCAATAGGCTTTGATTGGGCTTCTGGAGGGGAACTGCTCTGAATGAGTGAAGAGGTGAGATGGGCTGGTTCCAGCCAAGAATGTGGCAGCCACCAGGGCAAGAGGGAGTGGGAGATAGTAGGCCCAGGAGGGGGAGGAGGAACAGAGACTTCTTGGCCCCACTTGGCAGGAGGAACACCTGAAAGTGGGTGGAACTTCAAAGAGATGTTTTTCCTGTGGTCAGCCTGGCCTGATAAATAGCCCATGTGAGTCCCTGGTCGGCAGGGAGCTGGTGGGGCAGGGGTCCCACGGCCAAGGACACAAAGGCATGGCTCTGTGAAAAGCCCAGCTTTCCAAACCACAGAGGGAGACAGAAATATGTGAGGCATGCTGGCTCTGAGAGGCTCTCATCCTCAGGCCACCGACCCCCTGGACCGACTTCAGATAAATTACAAGCCTGCCCACAAGTACTTTGGTGGGAATCTTGTTTTTCTTCTTTCAGACAAAAAGCAGATTTGCTGACAGATAGGGACCAGGAGGTTGGGGTGAGGGGGAGGTCACCTAGGAGCACAAAGCCACATGGAGAAGCATTAAATCACCAGTTAATGAGATGCTGCAGTTCCTCAGCTGGGAAGACTGGAAGATTCAGGAGAAACCTCTGGAACCACTGGGAAAGGCTGCTAGGCCTGGCTGCTCCCCTTACTCTCAGGGAACTGGACCAGGCTGGCAGGACCAGTGGGTCTCATTTCCTCCCCTGGGAATTATTAATAATTCCCCACAAGGGGAGTGGCGTTATTATCCCCACTGAGACACAGGGCAGTGATTTGTCTAAAGTCACATCCCAGTGAGTGAGGGAGTCAGGCTCAGGCTGGGGTCTGGAGTCAGACTAACCTCTCCCAGGCAACTGCAGCTGCCCCTCCCTGCTCACATGGCACGTTCTCATGGGCTGTTTACCTTTTACAAGTGTATACAGTCAATACAACAGATATGATTGTGCTCACTTGACAGAGCAGGGACTGAGGTCTGGAAAGGCTTTTGGCTGACTCCAAGTGCCTGCCACAGGTCTGCCCACATACACAAATGCATGGAGCAGGATCAGGCAGAGCTGGGTTTGCACACTGACTGTTGTGGGACCTGGGACCAGACGTTTCACCTGTCTGCGTCCAGCTCTGTTCATTTGTACACTGGTGATAGTAAGCGTATCCTAACCTTGGCATCATTGTCCATCTACTGCAGAGCCAGCATAAAAATCAATTCTCAGTGAATGCTTGTTAGCGTCCTCATCATCAACAGTGGCAGAGGAGTGAGCCATGAGGCCTGAGGCCAGCTGGATGCTGCTGACCAAGGAGGTTTGGGAAATGTCCACGGATGGGGAGACCCTCCCTTCGGCAGATATGCCTGCAGGGAAAGCTCCACTTCCCCAAATGGGCAGAAAAATGAAAAACAAGGGCATGATTTTATATGAACTCTCTTCCTGAAGCAGAAACACTGATGGTACATTTAAATGTCAGGGTTCGCTCCAGGCCCTGAGATTTCAACCCAGGGAAGGTGGCTGGTCATGGCTGGTTTTGTTGTAGTGTTGTTCAGTCCCTGGTCTGAGCCTTCACCAGGAGGGAGGTCTGGCTGGAGATAGCTGCTCCCATAGCAGTCTTCTGCTCAGTGGCTTCTGGGCTCTGTTCTCCATGTTCACACGGAGGGGCCATTTGGGTACAGGGTATAACTTTTGTGGCCCCCATCTAGGCATGGTCACCTAGTTGTGTCTTATCTTGACTCAGCTTTAGCTTGTTCTGGGGTGGCCAGGGTTAGGGGTCCCACAGCACTCACAGGGTCCTACATCTTTGTTGCCCAGCTCTTGGTGTGGACAATGTTCTGGGTAAATGGGGTGACTCTTAATGATCCTCCTTTTCTTTTTCTTTTCTTTTTTTTTTTTTTTTTACAGAGTCTCAGTTTGTCGTCCTCTGTAGAGTGCTATGGAGTCATAGTTCACAGCAACCTCAAACACTTGGGCTCAAGAGACCCTCTTGCATCAGCCTCCCAAGTAGCTGGCACTACAGGCCTAGTCCCTGTCCCTGCCATGTTGGCTTTTCCTCCAGGAGCCCCTGATTTCCCTCCCACCACTCCGGGTTCCCTTACCTGCCTCCCAAACCTGGCAGCATGTCTCATTTCTGGCTCAAGCATTAATCCCAGGGTTCAGGTATTTTCCCCTGGGGGTCTTGAGGAGAGTGGCCAAGGAGGGGGGCTTTCCAGTCGGGATACCCTTCACCTTCTCAAGGAACTAGAGCAAGGTGTGTGAGGACTGTGAGAGTGGGCAGGTGGCAGCAGGCATCCTTGGGTTCCCAAGCCCAGTCCTCAGGCACAGAGGACTCCACTGTGTTATAGCTCTCCCCCATGGCTAAGGCGTCCTCAGAGGACAGCCCATCTACATCTGCGGTCTCCATCAGGGGCCCTTGGGGGGAGTTCCCTGGGCCACCCCCAGGGACTAGCAAGTTCACCCTCCAGGAAACTGTCCTCTCACTGGGAAGCTTGGCTGGGCATGGACCCCCCCCACCTCCCCAGGGTGGGGGTGTTTCCTTCAGATCCAAGCTCACTCCCACCAGGGGCACCCAGAGTCTGGAAACGGGAATCTGGTGGGACCCAGGGCGAAGGTGCAGAGGGAGCCCAGGGTTCCTGACCCGCTTCCCAAGAGTCCATGCAACCCCACCCTGACACCCCAGTTTCTCTCTCTCTCCTACACGACGACCTGACAGGGATGGAGGCTGCCCTGGTTCCATCCTGTCTTTGCAGAGGGACCTTGATTAGAAACTCCGAGGCCGAGGCCGAGAGAAGCCAAGAGGATAAGAATCCGGAGTTGCAGAAGCTGTCTGGTGGCCTGGCTCCCCGCGGTGGAGTCCCGGAGAGGCGAGGAGGGACCAGTATCCGCCCTGCCCTCCTCCCCTCTGTCTCTCCTGCCCACCCGGTGCCCGCGCTGGCCGCACCACCTTCCCCCACTCCTGCTTTGTCCCCACCCTTCTCTTCGTCACCTCCGCCACTTCCCCTCCATGGTCCTGGGGTCCCGGGATAGAAGGCGCCCTGTGCAGCATCTCTGGGGCCCTTCACTCCCCACTCTGGCAAGGACTTCTCCGGTGGAAGATGCAGGGCTCCGCCTCCGTGCCCTGCGTGGTCCCCAGCTGCCCTCACCAGGGGGGCCCCCTGCTCTGTGGCGGCGTGGGCCGAGCAAGCACTCCCAGGCGCTCAGCGCTCCGCTGTCAGGACTTTTATTGCCCACGGTCCCAAAGCCCCGGGCCCCCGGTCCCCTCCTGTCCCCAGGGCTGCACCGGGCTTGGCCGGCGAGCAAGCCTGGCTAGAAGAAGTTGACCACTTTGCGGAGCGACTGCACGCGGGCGCTGTGGGCCTCCCAGTCGGAGAAGCTGCGGAAGTCGCCCCTCTCCACCAAGTACATGCGGCCGCGGTAGTTGGGCTCCTCGTACAGGACCCACCTGGAGGCGGAGGAGGGATGGTCAGGTGGCTGCAACCCGGTTCGGAGAGGAGGGCCAGCACTCGCCCCTCCTGCCCCGGAGCGTTCACTCTGGGCACCATGAGGGGCCCAGGCCTGCCCTGGGCTTATGTCCTCCTCCACCCACCACCCTCGTGGTCCATCAGTGCTGGGGAGGGACGCGTTTTGTGTGGGAGCTGCCCAGGAGCTGCCCGGTTTTTTAATCAGTCCATGGCAAGGCCCGAAGGGATTGCGGGATGTGCTTCTGCTGCCATTGACCGCCCCTCACCACTCCTGTTCCCTGAAAGGACCGCCTTGCACAGGGTGGGCACCAATTAGGGCTATTCACTCATTCAGCCAATGTTATCACCGTCCTGCTGTGTGACCAGCACTAAGGGAGGTGCCCAAGTCAGTCAGAGGGACATAGTTCCTGCCCTCTCTTGCCTTTCGGGGCTGCACACCAGTGGGAAATGGGCAGAGGGCAGGACACAGGAGTCCCCATGGGGTCCTTACACAGCTCTAAGTGCCTGCCCAGCACCAACAACCCAGACAGCAGAAACAGGACAAGTCTTGTGGCCTACCACCTCCCAGGAGGCCAAGGGGCCAGCACAGGTAACCAGGAAGGTCTAGGGGGAGGCAGGAGAGGACACTAGGAGGAAGAGTAGCCTCTAGCCTCTGGAAGGGAAGTGTGTCCAGGGAAGAGACCTTAGGACGGCTGGGGGGCAGGGGCTGGCCCAACCCTGTCCTTCCTTTATCATTTCAGAGACAAGTGTGGCTTGTCACACCTAGTGCCTGGTACAATCTGCTGCTTCAAGGGTCAGGGACAAGAATGAAAAGAGGTGGAGGATGGGAGTGAGTAGGGAGCTAAGATAGGCCTGGTCCAGTCTAACGCAATCTGACACCCAGGACTCTCCCACTGAAGGCCTCCCTACCTCCACACTTATAGTCACAGCTGGGGCCTTAGTGGACTCTCAGGCTTACACCAACCTCCTTACGGTGGGAAGGGCAGAGAATATTCCAAGTAGTGTCCTGGACCATTACCCTGAAGCTCACACAAGTGTGCCAAAAGGACAGAACAGAGAATCAACTGGGTATCCCCAGAAAACCTTCCTTCCCCTGTCCTGGCTGTGGCTGTTGGGAGGACACAGGAAAAGGAGGGGCCTTGCACAGTGGTTCAGCCTGTAATCCCAACACTTTGGGAGGCTGAGGATAGAGGATCACTTAAGGCCAGAAATTAGAGACCAGCCTGGGCAACAGAGCAAGACCTCATTTCTATAGAAAATAAAAGTAAAAAAGTTAGCCAGGCATGGTGTCATGTGTCTGTAGTCCCAGCTACTGAGGAGGCTGATGCAGGAGGATCGATTGAGCCCAGAAGTTCAGGGCCATAATGGTCTATGATGGCACCACTGCACTCTGCCTGGCCTGGTGATAGAGCAAGAACCAGCCGAAAGGAAAGGAAAGGGAAGGAAAAGAAAAGAGAGGAAGGACACGGCCTGTCCACATCAGCATTGTGCCCTCCCTGGGGACAGGAAGTGAGGGTGGCAGAAATGCCCAGTGCATTTCCCTCTAAGTACCCTCCAGGACACATCAGAGGCCATAGGTCATCCTTGAGCTGACTTAGAGGGAGGTCGTGGAAGGCCCCTGCCTCATTTTACCCCACATGAGACCCCAGGAAAGAGCTCCTGGACATGTCACTATCCAGACCCAGGGGATCCAGGAGTGTCGCCATCTGGGCAGCTTCTCCTTGGCAAGAGCTTAAGTTTTCTTTTCTTTCTTTCTTTCTTTTTTTTTTT